TTCCATTAAGTTCCCTAAGTGTAGGATTGAGGATGTTCCTCTCAAGATAGGTGAGTTTACAATTCCCGTTGATTTCATTATGCTTGAGGTTGCGGAAGATGACAATATACCCATCATCTTAGGGAGACCATTCTTAGCCACTTCGGGTGCTTTGATTGATGTGAATGGTGGCACTATAACTTTGTGTGTTGGTAATGATAAGGCTAGTTTCAAGCTCAAGTCAATGCATGAGTCTTTATCATACATGCAAGGAATCATGTGTATTAATTCACTTCCTTCAAATGACAATGCTTGCATGTTTGTGTCCTCTACTAATGACATTCTTGTAGCTTGTGATGATGTCCTTATAAGTATTGATAGTAAGATGGTTAGTGAAGATGCCAAGAAGCTCTCAAGGCTTAAGGATGAGGATGAGTTTGAAATGCCTTCATGGTTTAGTCTTTCTTTGAAGGATGATGAGAATGGTTTTTCACGTGTGGATGGTGTGGAGGTTCTAGCTCCTAAGAAGAAGAGATCGAGAAAGAGAAAGAGAATTTCAAAGAAGATGAAGAAATTGAAGACCAATATCTTTGGTTCGGTTCAAGCATATCCCAATGATGAGTCTTGTGATATGATTGTGCCTAAGCTTGACAATGATTTTGTTCTCTCCACCACTTTGGACAAGGTGGTCTTCTTTGACCCTCCGTTATTTGGAGGAAGGGTCAAGCTAGGGACCTTAAACTAGCGCTTTTCGGGAGGCAACCCGACCCTCTAACTTTTCTCTTTTCATTTTTATTTTACTCTGTTTTCTCTTTATTTTACTTGATTTTATCTTGAAGTAACTCACATGTGTTTAATGTTTATTTTATTTTCTTCCCTTTTTCTAATCTTTTCTTGTAGATCAAGCTTGGCTTTCTTGGAGGTCCGAGGTGGTATTAGGTTCCTTTTGCTTCTTTGCTTTGCTTTGCTTAGCTTGGATCGCTTGGTGAGATCTTTGCTATTTTCCCTTCTTTTATTTTCTTTCTTGTTTGCATAGTATAGGTTTAGATCAGGAAGAGTTGAACGATTCGAGGTTGTTTGTTGTCAACACCTAGAGGGTGTTTGGGGCCATTAGCGTTGTAGTCGAATGTCCACTTGTTTGTCGAATGGAGTATATATGATTTTGCATGCACCTTTGACCCTTCTTCTCCTTTTCTTTTCTTTTCTTTTCCTTCTTTATTTTTGGTAAAATATGAAAATTCCAAAAAAGATTTTTGTTTGAGGCAAAGTTTTGTGTTTTTTTGCTATGATTGCTTTTGTTTTGGACATAATACCATTTGGACTTTTATATTTGAATGTATGTCTTCCTCAATGTTAACGGTATGCACGTTTTGAGAGTATGCTCGGTTGATTTTTAGGATAGAGTATGCTAAGGTAGTGTCTTTAAAAATTTTGGGACCTTGAAGCCCTAGTCTACTTGCTTGTGGTAAGAGGGTGTTTCTTCCTATAGTTGATTTGAAGCTTATAGTGAGTTAATGCTACAACTGTGTGAGGTTCTTTCTTCTAGCCTTCAACCTATATTGCATGAGTGGCACATGGATCCTTGGCTATCGCTTACTTTATCTAGAACTTGACTTTTATTTCCCAATATCGCGACCGAACCATTTGGGAAGGACAAAGGCATCTTTTTCGAGGTGGTTATTTTCCTTTTCTAGGTTTAGTCCTTCTATTTTTGATTTTTGTTTTTAGGTTTATGTTTGCCTCAATGCTAACCATTTGAGCCCTTTACCTTCTTTTCTAGCCATATCTCTAGCTCTCTAGCCATTTGTTTAATTTTTGTTTCCATCTTTGCTTTTTGTGAAGCTTATGGTCCTTAGTTTGTTGGTGACTTATGGGAGTATAAATATGGTTTTTGGTTCTCTTTCTAAGCAAGCATGTGTTGTATATAGTATGTGAATAAAGGCAAATACAAATTGAAAAAGCCATCCATAATCAAAAGAGGCAAGGACAACGCAATAAAGTGAAAAAAAGAAACAAAGTAAAGCAATTGCTAATGCTTTGAAAAATAGAAAAAAAATAGAGGAAAATGAAAAGCACAAAAATATTTTGATGTAGGTGTGATCTCCCTAGTTTAGGACATTGAGGACAATGGTCCATTTAAGCTTGGGGAAGCGTGTCTACGCTTTTTGTATATATATTTGTAGTGTTGCTTTAAATAAGCTTGGGGGTGTTGGTGTTTTTGTCTAGTAATAATTTGATTTTGGTACTAAGAATTGGACATTTTTTGCTTCACAAATTAGGTTTACCACCAAATTTTAAATTTTAGCCTACCTTTACCCTTTTTTTCCCCATACAACCCTTCAAAGACCTGCAAGCCCTTTTGGTTGAGTCATAAGTCGGTGGAGGGAGATGGGAGTCAAGCCTATGGAGCAGGTTTGCATAGTCAAGATGTCGAGTAGCCCTAAATCTTTTCTTTTTTGGTTCTTTCAAGGAATCATTTAGATGCTCACTAGAGGTAGATTTGAAACTAGTAGGGAGAACGCGGTAAGATTGTTTGGGATGAAGGTGAATAGTGTCTTATTAGTTCTCTATGCTTAGCATATTTTATGTTTCAATCAACCTTGGATATCTTAGAATGTGAATTCCCTTATTTACTTAGGAAGTCTTGCATCCATTTGTGCTTGAACATTTGCAAAAAGTCCATTTCATTAGCATGTGTTTTCCCTTTTTCTTCTTTTTCATCCTATTTTCATGCTTTGCCTCGTTTTATTTTGAGAAGTATGGGTTAAGCACTTTTGGAAACCCTTACGAGACCTCAATCATCCTCATTGGCGACTTTGGGGTTTTAAGGGCTTGTTGTAGCTAAAAACAACCGTGATTCCTACGTTAGTGAGTTAGTGTATATTCATCCCCTTTTCTCTCTTTTCTTTATTTGAATAATCCATTCATTTTCCTTACTTGCTTTTGTTTTGCTCGAGGACGAGCAAAAATTTAGTTTGGGGGAATTTGATGAGATTCATTTATGGCACTCAAATGGCGATGTTTTAGAATGTTTTTAGTTGCCTCTATAGCTTCCTTTATTTCTTTTCTCTTAGTTTTGACCTTTTATTCTCTAATTTTTCTCTTTCTTGCTTATTTTCACCTTTTCTTCTATTTTTGAAGATTTTATTGTATTTTCTCTTTTATTTGTTCTTCTTTTTTTGATTGTCGGTATAAGGTGAAGCCCAAGACCCCTCATGATGAATTCTTGGGTTGGAGGAAGCTCTAAGTGCAAGGTGGAAGCTCTTTCATAGCTCACAAGGCAAGGAATGGCTAGCTTTAAGATTTGGTGATTGCGCTCGCATGAAAATATGGTGTTGAACCCACCGTAAACTCCATTTCAGTACTGCCATACCTAGTGACGATCAAGAGGAGAACACCACCTAAATCACGAGCACACGTTGGAAAATCCCCTGCTCCAGTGGCGCGGGCACGCAGCCCACCAGCGCGGGCGCACCACCTGGGTTTCTGGCTCCATACCCAGTTCGTTGCAGGCGCGCCCAACCGGGTCTTTTTTTGGGTTTCTACCTTATTTCCTCCTAGTTAGTTATACTATAAATAGCTATTTCTTTCTATTTTTTATCATCAACTAGAATTGGACTTTAACTTCCATTTTTGTACTAGATTTTTAGAGAGAAAAACTTAAGAGAGAATTGTTTGATTTCTACATTTGATCTTCATCTACTTTGAATGCAAGCATAATTTCTTTGATTAATCAAAGTTTGTAAGATTTTCTTCTTCTTAATTCAATCCCTTTGATTTTGATTTTGTTAATTGTTGCAATTTCAAGTTTGTTAGTTAATTTGATCTTGATTAGTTTGAATTGCAATTATGATGATGATTAGCTTAGTTTTGCTTCTTCAATTCACAGTGATTAGTGAGTAGAATCTTTGATAAGGTGATGGTGAAGCATGCATGAATGATGGATTATTGCTAATTGAAGGAATTGGATTGATTGAATTTTGTAATTAAATTGGTTGATAGAATTGTGCATGTGTTTGAATTAATAGGAGTAATTAACCTTGATTTTTAAGCTAGATTGCATTGCATTTCCTAATTACATGACCACTTTATTTAGAGATTGCATTTATTGATTGAATTTGAATTGTGATGCTTCTTGTTAAGTCATTCATAGAGGAACCCTAGCTTGACTTCTAGGAGATAATCTTCTGAACTCTTTCGATTACAATTACTATTAGCCCTTGCAATGTTTGATTGATTGAATCCCCTCTATTAGCATCCCAACCTTGATTGCATTTGGATCCTAATCCCTAGTACTTTTGAATGGGTCATTTCGGTTATGGTAATCAAAACTAGGGAGATTACACCTATATCAAATATGTACCACTAAATCACCTTGAGCTTGGTTATGTTAATCAAAACCAAGCTCGAGGTAATTAGAACGACCAAGGTAGGGGCAATTTTCAAAACAATTCACAAAGAGGTCCTCCCCCCGGTTTTGTTCCAAAGACCCAAGCTCTAGGTGATAATTCCTTTACAACAAATTCATCATTTAGGTCTAATCTTGAAGAGATTGTTGAGAACCAAACAAAATTGCTCACCACTTACATGAATGTGAGTGAAAAGAAGTTCAATGAGATGATGACTCATAGTAAGATGCTAGAGAACCAAATCACTCAATTAGCTAACACCTTGAAAGAGAGTGCAAGCCTTTTGCAAGGACTTGACCCTAAGAAACCGGTTTATTCTATCACCACTAGGAGGGCAAGGTTTTAGAGGAGAGTGTTTATAAGAGGATTCAAGAGAGTGATAAGGTGTGTGATGCACTTGATGATGATGAGTATGATGATTCTAGCATAAGGAGTGAGATCCCTAATGAGAGAGCCAAGAAGAAAAGGAGTGTGCAAGATGAGGTTGTCAAACCCAAACTTCCTTACCCCGAGAAGTTTTTTAGGAACAAAAAAGATGATCAATTTGGGAGATTTATTGATATGCTTTAAGAGATTCATCAATCTATTCCATTCACCGATGCCTTGCAATAAATGCCTAACAATTCCAAGTTTCTTAAGGATATTTTGAGTGGCAAGAGAAAGTGCAATGTGATTGATTCAGTGAGTGTTGGGGAGTGTTCTAGTGCTCTCATCCATAATGATCCTCCCCCAAAGATGAAATATCCGAGGAATGTTTCCATCCCTTGCAATATCAATGGCAATTTGCTCCAAAATGCTCTTTGTGATCTAGGTGCTAGTGTTAGCATCATGCCATACTCCGTTTTTAAGAAGCTTAAACTAGGAGAGCTACTCCCTACCAAACTGACTCTTCAATTGGCCGATCATTCCATTAAGTTTCACAAGGGTAGGATTGAGGATGTTCCCCTCAAGATAGGAGAGTTCACTATCCCCGTTGATTTCATCGTTCTTGAGATTGCGGAAGATGACAATGTACCTATCATCCTAGGGAGACCATTCTTAGCCACTTAGGGAGCTTTGATTGATGTGAAAGGTGGCCTTATTACCTTATGTGTTGGTAATGATAAGGAAAGTTTTAAGCTCAAGTCAATGCATGAGTCTCTATCTTATGTGCAAGGAATCATTTGTGTTAATTCACTTCCCTTGAATGACAATGCTTGCATGTTTGTTTCTTCTCCTAACGACTTTCTTGTAGCTTGTGATGATATTTCTAAAAGTGTTGAAAGCAAGGTCGTTAGTGGAGATGTCTGTAGGGTTTCGTAGTGACCCGAAACTACGCGGAAGGAAACCCACCAAGACCCGCCCCTTAATTAAAACAATTAACAAGCATATTAAACTTAATCAAACAAGATTAAGAGCAAGAATTATACCTTGGTCGCGTGCTTTGCTCCCAAAGAGCTCTTACTTCAAAATCCCGAAAACACAAGATCTCCGACGGATCGTACCCTCGATCCGACCCGAGCGTCCTAAGTCTTGAAGGTTAGTCAAGACCCGGACAAAATAACTATGAGTTTTACGAATCAAAGGTTTACTCTTAATTAGAGTTGCCTTTTTAATTCCACTCAAGGTTGTTTATTTCCCAATACCCAAGCTTGGTATTTATAGGGAAATGAACCCTTGATTTTTCATCCTCCACAATGTGGGAGTGTTGAAAATCAATGATTTATTTAATTTCCAAATTAAATAAATAACCAAGTTAATCATATTGTGACAAGTGGCATGATCTCATGCAAAAGAGTGGTGGCCAAGGTTAGGTGGGGGACCATATGCCTTGCTCCCCAAGGCCTTGATTTGGTCCCCACATCCTTGCACAAAACCGGCTCAAGGAAGGCTAGCTGGCTACCAGCTAGCGTGCCAGCTAGGGCTGCCAGCTAGCACTGCCTTGCTGCCCAGCACCCCAGCCAGCCAGCCAGTGCGTGCTGCTGCTGGGCTGGTGCTGTGTGCTGGCGCTGGGCGCTGCTAGCACATAGTGCTGGCACTGGCCCCAGCAGCCCACGCACAGGCTAGCACGCACACATACCTTGCACACCATTGCTAGCACAGCCAGCATGCGTGCTGCTAGCGAGCCACGCATGCTGGCCCCCTTGCTCCGCATCGTGCTACGAACCATGCAACACGCAGCGCGCTACGCACCACGCAACACGCACCACGCTACGCACCACGCAACACTCGCACACACATCAGCCAGTGCCTAGCACTGCTATGCTTGGTGCGAGGCACGCACACACGCACATGCACATGCGCCAGTGCCTAGCATTGCGATGGTTTTGCTTGGTGCGTGTGTGGCCTTACCATACGCACCCAGGCACCCAGGCTAGCACGCTGCTAGCTGCGATGGGCTGCCTGGTGCTTGTGGTGCTTGCGATAGGCTGCCATGCGCACCCAGGCACCCAGGCTAGCACGCTGCTAGCTACGATGGGCTGCCTGGTGCTTGTGGTGCTTGCGATAGGCTGCCATGGTGCCTAGGCATGATGCTAGGGCTGCGATAGCGCCTAGGCATGATGCTAGGGTTGCGATGGTGCGCCTAGAACACCTAGTGTGCTTTGGCTTACGCTTAGCCATGCTAGGTGCATGCTAGCTCGAATTAGCCTAGCATTCACATGGTTAGACCATTGTGGTGCTACGGCTACACTCATACTTGTCGCTTTGTGATTTTGCGACGCTTGGTCTCGACACCCTAGGCTCGATACCCGACGTCTGTATTCTTAAAACTCTGTCGACTCATTAAATCCTTTCGGATTAATTTGTCGTCTCGGATCGGTGATTCGATTGGGTTCGACCCGAAGGGTTCAGTTAAGATTAAGCTGTAACATCAATTGTACATTGATATTACTGATCGGAAGCGGCCTCCACCTAGGCATTCTGATCACTTGACCTTATTGAAGAATTAGCTCTGTAATATTCCTGAACCCTCTATCGGAAGAATACACTTGTTGGAAGGACACCATTCCTTTTAATCTCCCACTTGTCCTTCCAGACAAGTGTGCATACAGTGTATAGCCCGTTTCCTATGTCACTTAATGTTTCTTCGTGAACTATAAGGTAAGAGTCTTTGTCATCCTTATTACGTTCAGAAGTGTTTCTCGATCTCCGAGTTCGACTGTCAATAAGCAGATGATTTCTAAAATCCATCTGAGCACGGCCATGCATTTTCACAGTCTCGCTCTTCGAGCGGCCTTGTAAACAACAAAACATTTTCCCTATTATTAGTAGGGGGACAATCCTAGTCTTACATTGTAAGTTCCTCTTACTAAGAGGACATAGTCTCCTGAGTGTTCCCGTTATGATCCCCAGTTATGACAGACGTTAGGAAACATCAAAGAGTCTAGTACTCAAACAAGAAAACTTCACAATACTCATGGTCGGAGGAAACAGGTTCCGATAGTCATAATGAGAAATGTACTTATGACAATTTTAAAATTTCTTAAAGTACTCTCATAGGTCTTATCCAGTACAGTTCCAAACTATGCCTGTGCAAGTGATTTATGACCGTCACGTCCTCGCAGCACAAGAAACGGTGCTGTAAATCATACTACACACTAATCTATGGTGGTCATCAATCGTCCATCTGTTAGATAACCTCGATTAGGGACAATTTTTGATTTAAATATTCAATGTTCACTTAACAGGTGTTTCTTTATCCAAGACATGGTCTTGATACCCTGTTTTGAATATTTCCGTAAATCGAATGGACTCATTATTTAATTCTAAACCACAATTAAATAGTAATGGAGTGAATGATAATTTTGCACAAAATTAATTACTCCATTAATGAATGGTTTTAATACAGTGTCTTACATTAAATATCTTATTTAATTAAAACACATGTACAGGGAATTTCAAAGCCAGTCTCCAACATGCTTAATTCCCATCGCCTCAATGTGTTTGTTGTGTTTCACTTGAGGCAGCGGTTTAGTCAAAGGATCGGCTACATTATCATTTGTGCCAATCTTACAAATTCTTATTTCACCTTCGGATTTCCATTCCCTTATCATGTGAAATCGCCTTTGCACGTGTTTGACCTTTTGCTGCTCTCTCGGCTCCCTGGCCTGAGCGATAGCTGACAAACGCTAAATTCGTTGCACAATTTAGGCTCATTCAAACACATTTATAACAAACACCTCACTCAAACAAGTACAATGGCAAGCAAGGGTTCGGTCCACGGAGAACGGGAATCAATTGCTAAATAATCTTAACGATCAAGCTAAATCGAAATCAAGGTATGAGTGGTGATTAACTAACAAACTACAACTAATGGTTGAATTCAAGGGATTAAATCACTAGGGGAATGTGATTCACTCAACCAATAGCAATTAGGCGAATAGGGAGGAGCAAGGATAATGGGATAGCAAAGACCACATGCAAGACCAACTTCAAATGATATGAAAACAACTCAAATCACTAAGCTTAGATCCATCATTAACTTAGCAAAAAAAGATACATAATCATATTGCAATAGGTAATGAAACATTCAACCCACACTTCCATGTCGAACCAAACATTTCATGCCGTCAAGTTCAATAATCTAGGTTAATTACTCCTATCATGAAGAACTAACAAGCAATCCCATATAATCCATTTTAATCACAACCCATCATCAAAATCACTCCCAAACTCACATAATCACCATTAGGTTGGGTTTCACCCAACCCCTAGCTAAGGAACTACTCACACATCATATTGAAAAGCACAAAATCAAAGTTTAGGGTTCTATCTTGCTCAACAAACTTAGAATAGTAACTTGCTACAAATAGAACTAACATTCAACAATAATCATCAAAGAACTAAAAGGGATTCAAATAACAAGGTACAACAAAATAAATAAGAAACCAAGTAAAGTGGAAGGAGAAAAGTTACTAAAATGAAGCTTCAAAAATGTTGAATAATTGCTGAAAATATGAGAATAATCCTTGAAGTTTGCTTCTACAAATGATTAGATTTTGAGAGTTTCTAAAACTAAATCAACTAATTTAATGAACTAAGGTGCTAACTAAGAGAGTTTTTGCTCAAAACTACTCTACTGTTTTTCTTCTTTTTTTAAAAACGATCTCAAAAGGACCTTAAATAGTCCATACAAAATTGGCTGAGATCGGGAAAAGGTCCGACCGAACTCTGGGTAGGTTCGGTCGGACTCAGGGTAGGTTTGGTCGAACTCTGGGTAGGTTCGGTTGAACCTCCCTTATCCTTGTTTGGTCGAACTTTTGAGGTTCGACCTCTCCTGCAAAATTGCTGAAAACTGGTTTGACACTGCCTTCATTGCACCTTGGAGGTTCGGTCAAACTTTTCAAAATTTTGACCACACCTAGGTTCGATCGAACCATTTAGAGGTTCGGCCACACCTCCTCTTGCACTTCCTTTTCTTGCTTCCTCTCCTTCCCTTTTGCTCCTCTTGCCTTTGTCCATGGCTTCCATACTTAGCCAAGGGGCCTCCCACCGTGCATAGGACCGTCATGGAACCTGCAAAAGATAGCAAAGTTCACGAGAGCATGGGGATGATAAAATAATGCATAAAGATGATCAAAATAAGCGCAAATAAGCATTACTTTTCATCAACACATAAAGAAGCCATAAGAGGATAAATGAGGTGGAAAAACCTAAGAAAAATAGGAGGAAAAAGACCTAAATACTACCCTTAAGAGTGACATAAATGTCACTCATCAATAGCTCCATTTTTATCACAATAGAGGTCTATCGACCCCTTGATTGAGGGTACAACACCAAGTTTGCTAATGAACTTGCGAATCCAAACAACTTCTTTGGCAGCTTCTGAAGCGGCCAAGTACTCGGCTTCAGTTGTAGAGTCTGCAGTGGTGCTCTGCTTGGCACTCTTCCAGCTAAACGCTCCTCCATTCAGACAGAATATGTACCCCGACTGTGACTTGAAGTTGTCTCTGTCAGTTTGGAAGCTAGCGTCAGTGTAATCTTTAACAACCAGTTCTTTGTGGCCTCCATACACCAGGAATTTATCCTTGTTCCTTTTCAGGTACTTAAGGATGTTCTTGGCCACAGTC